GCACGTGTGAAAAAATGCTGGAAATTTGAGTAACTCACCAGAACTGAGTTTCTATTTAGCTCTAAGACTAGGGATCTGGCCTCATGAATCATACAGAGCAAAAAGCATTGTCCAGAATTCAGAATTAAAATTCGCTATACATAAACCTTGTGACATTTTCATTACAGCATACCAGTCTGGAATCTGCATTTAAAACACTGACTGCTCAAAGGAATCTAAATCTCTTTAGCTAAAGGTAATAAAATGAGGTCAAAAATTCACTACTCAACAATCTACCATTAGCATTTCTGCTCAGAAAAAATGTAGTTCACCTATTTTTAAAGAAAGTAAAGGCAGGACATATAAGTTGGAAAGTATAATGATTTACTTGTGTATGGAAGTCGATTAGGTAGCGAGCTGTGTTTCCTCATAAACAGATTTTGGTGCATCTGCATCATGATTTTTTTTACAGTACACACAGTACTTGTGTAAGCCAGAAGTGGGACTGCATTTGTGTTTACACAACCCACGGTTTCATCACCACCTCCATCACATCCAACTAAATCACAGCAGCAGAGAGCACACAGGGTCTGAGCTGGATCCTGCCTGGGGTCAGCTCTGTTCAGTCCTGGGGGTCTCTGTGCTCCCAGAGACATTCCACTGACAGTGGCCACAGAACTGCCCAAAGGCACCTGGGACACACCTGCTGATGCTGACCCAGTGCTACTGAGAATAAAGCAGCCTGATGCTGGCCATAAAAGAAAAGGAGTTTTACTTGCAGTTATCAATGTGGCAGCATATTTTTTTAAATTTAATTTGTTTGGATTCTTAATGGTGGAAGCAGAACTTGATTTCTGCTGCAGTATCCTTTAAAATAAATGCTTGATCTCTTCCCACCCACCATTACAGCTGATGGGCACAAAATAAAAAGAACAGCAATTCATTCACCTTATCACTGGAGCACCAGAGGAAGCGAGGGATCCTTAGTACAATGATTAATGACTCACCATAAAAAGATGCATCATAAACTGCTTGTATTAGGTTAAATCATAAACTAGGCTTTTAATGTTTATATGATCCCTTTCTAAATAATTAAGTGTGTAGCTCCCAGTAGGAATGGAACTCACATGATGCTTGCAAAGCACAGTTTCTTACAGGGTGATAGTTTGGGACCCTCATTTAAGGGACCCCTGTCTGCCTCCATATTCAAACACTGCTTGAATTTCTCTTCCTATTGGAACATTTCTCTGTATGACAGGTCAGAGAGACCATTTGATGTTCAGGAGCAGCAAAGATGATCTACCCTGAATTTAGAGTGTCTTCTTCAGCCTGTGCTCATGAAGGGCAGCTCATCCACAGAGGAGTCAGCCAAGCCTGGATGCTGTAATTTCCTGTGTTTAGATGCTAATAATAACTCCCAGCAGCTTCAGCAGCTGGTTGGAGAACAGTGAGAGAATAGCACCATTTGTCCTAACAGCCCCCCAAATTATCCACCTTGTGCTGAACCTGCCACCTTTAAAACATAGTACAAGGTGACATTATGTAAGTGCCCATCCATTTCCTTACTATCACAAGCCTGCAAATGTATCCATCTCCCTTTTATTTCCCAGAACAGCTGGTGCTTTTTCTCAACCAAATCTCCCAGAATCTCCCTCTCTTGGCAATCAGACATTGGCTTCAGTGTAAAGTCACCCCATCAGAAGAATGTTGCAGCTCTAACCAGTCTAAACACCATTATTTACTCAAAAAATAACAGGAGTTTGAAAAAGAGCTGCAGACCCCTAAATACTTTCAACAGGCATAGTAGGTAGCCCCAGTCTGTTGCTGCACTGCTTATTCATAGTCAATACAGAAAATCACTTAGGTTAATTACTTAAATATTTCCATCTATGGAATTTAGAAAAGGGCAAAGCCAACAGGGGAATACCCAAGATCATTATTTTTAAATAAACAATAGATTTCATGGGAGTTTGCTGGGTTATCAAACAGTATCCTCTCAAATCAGCTCATTAGTTTCACTGTTTCCCTATTTCACTTTATTAAAACAATTTAGACAAGGGTTCACTAGATGCAATGTAATCTATTTCAGACACTCCGAGACTAATCCCTTTTCTCTTAGCAGTTACATGATAATAGTTCTCAAAAAGTTGAAAAGTATTATTGCTGCAGCTATTTCAAATAGGGACTGTTTTCAGTGAAGCACAGGCCACCACTTTCCCTACATCTTATTATTTATTAGTATATTAATTTTTGTTCTTTACTTATTCATTCATTTATTCCTTCCTTTTTCTATCTTACATTGCTTCACACAAGCAGTCACACATGATCAACAGCATCCTCTGTGCAGGTGGAGGGATGCACCAAATATCTGTGCATGGGTCACCACACCAGGCCTTAGGAAAGAAGTGATTTTTTGCAATTTACTTGGAGGTTCTGGAGTTAAAAAACCCCAACTTGGTAAATTCACAGTGGTTTTATAAATAGCCTAGAGAGAAGGGAGAAAGTTCCCATGCATTTTCACACTGTTAGTTTCTGACAGCTCTGATAGACTCACAGGAGGGGATCACACATAGGATTTGCAAATTAGGAGGCAGAGACTGTATGTTACTTTCCAGGCTGGAAACACAGAGTAACAGACCTGTGCTATGGACACATGGCTTATTTCACAACAAACTCATACTCTTGTATTTTCATAAAACTTTTTCCAAACAGTAGGGTTAGAATTTCTTATAGGGCAGAACAAAACCCCAG